TTAAATCTGTAATCTGCATTGTGTGGATAATGGGACGGGGAGAGACACTAGTGCTGAGAGCTGTGTCAGATCCGTCAGGGTCGGCGTTAATTCTAGTGCACTTGCTGCATTTCACAGCTCCTTGTCTGGCTTTGGGGTAATTTGGAGGGTTGAGTGAAGCCAGATGACTGTAATGAACTCATTTTGTGTCTTTGGCTCATTCTGCCAAAAAAAGAGAATTGTGTGGATAATGGGACGGGGAGAGACACTAGTGCTGAGAGCTGTGTCAGATCCGTCAGGGTCGGCGTTAATTCTAGTGCACTTGCTGCATTTCACAGCTCCTTGTCTGGCTTTGGGGTAATTTGGAGGGTTGAGTGAAGCCAGATGACTGTAATGAACTCATTTTGTGTCTTTGGCTCATTCTGCCAAAAAAAGAGATGCTATTTATGGGGCATTTTGTATTGTTGAGACTTCTGTTCCTCCCGTCTCTCAGACTTTCTCCAGCCACTGTCTTTGCGCCATCACCAGTAATTACATCAAATTAATTCAGCATAATTGAGTTAATTATTAGCACTGGAGGTTAACACCATGACTTCAGTTGAACCAAAGCTTTTACCCCCCTTTCCCCAAGGTTTCACCAAATGTAACCAAATCTGAGTCCTGGGTGAAACCTAAGGCAGCTCCGTTTGCACCGAGTGCTTTTGCCGCTCAGAGCTGCTGTGCCACACTCCTTCCCTTGATGGGAGCTGGCACAGGAGCTGCAAAGGGGAAACACTCTGGCATTCTGCATCCGTGTCCGAGTGCTTGAGGAACGAGGGAAGTCGTCCCAGAGCCATTCAGTCCCAACCAGAAATGCAGAATGATCATTAGTAAAGTCGTACACATACAGGATATTGGAGGCAGTTGGGCTGACATACATCCCAAGGGATGGAGACACAGGCTGCAGAGGTTCTGGGGTTGTGTTCTGAACCAGGGGTGCTGTTGTGAGTCCTGTAGGACATAGCCAGCAGGATGCCTCGTGTCAGGGAGTGTCTGAGAACCGGAGGGTCCTATTCCCAGCTCTGCTCTTGTGTGACTTTGCACAAGCTGCTGAAGTTTCTGGAGCACAGTTAGGTTTCTCGGCTGTTTTTCCTCTGGAAGAGCCTTGGGTTGTCCCTGCTCGTGTGGCATGTTTGTTTTGATCTGTCAGAGCACGAGCTGTATGCTGGGCACTGGGATCAGGAGGGAATGTGGATTGAGCTTCACTCCACAGACAGTAAAACAGGTATTTTTTCCCCTTGAACTTCATCTCAGCCAGAGGTATAAATTGGTTTAGTCAGTAGTGTTGTTGGTGTGTGTAATCAGTTAAAATCAGGCGCTGTTCCACCGAAAACAAACGTCCTGTGGAGTTGTATGTGTTTGCAGTGGCTTGTTGCCAGCCAGACTTCTCCTTTGTTCTTCCTGTGAAGCAGATTCCCTTTGAGCCAGGCTGGGCCAGGGCGAGTGCCAGTGAAGTTTTGGGAAAACCTGAGATGTGACTTTAAGACCTCAGCCATGTCCCTAAGCCACGGCAGCGTCTGCCCCTGATTAGCTGTTGGTATGGAAACAATCCTGATTAGTGAGCTGTGCCAGGGACAATCCCCCTAAGAGGCTAAAGGCTCCCAGACTTACATGTCCTGAAATACTGCTGCTTATAGACATTTCTCCCAGGAACAGACATGGATTTTGTTCAGGATGTGGTGGGTCAAATTCCCCCGTGGTTTAATTCCACCACAGACAGGGTTTATGCCAGGGAAGGGGCTGGCTCAGATTGTTACGGTGGGAGAGAATGAAGGATTGGGAGATGCTAAATTTCAGCAGGTGTGGATTTGGAGCAGTGAGACAGCAGGTTGTTCCTGGTGTTGCTGTGAAGGATGTGGAGAATTGGGATGGATAACTCCAGGGTGAGCTGTGGACACCAGGCCATGCACCAGCCCCGTGGTCACTAGTGCAGGGATCGTGTGCAGGTGGGGCTGGAAGGGATGTGCTGGGGGAGCAGTAAAAGGAGAGGTCACACTGGGCAGCCTTGTTACACTGCAGGGTTTATTCCCATGTTTGTGCGAAAGGAAGGGTCAGAGGTCTATGTTAGACATTCTTGGGTTAAAAACCCAACATTTTTCTAATTAAACTTCAGTCAGCAGTGTGGGTCACCGTGACTTCTGCTGCTGTGTTAAATTCTGACTCTCCACCTTCACGTGACTTTGTCCTTCTGTTGAACTCTGGTACTTGCCCTTTCCTGAGCAGAGCCCTGTCTGCACTGACAACTGCTTCTTTCCCCCTCTTGCCTTTTTAAAAAATAGGCAAAGTTGGATTGCATGAGCAAGAAGAGCCTGTCTTAAAGCATGAAGGGGACATCAACTTCAGCCAGTTTCAGTCCTCCCTAAACTGAGTGAGGAGCCATGACAAAACCTTACGTAAGCCTTGCTGTTCTGCCTGTGCCTGCCTGACCCACAGCCCATGGAGCCAGAGCGTTCATTAGTCACAGTGTGTTTGTGCCCTTCAAGGGCATTTTCAGACCCTGCACTGCCAAGGGGAGATCTGTCCTTCAGCAAAAGTTGTGGTAGCTTTTTTTGTGCCCAGCTGAATGTTTTAGAGGGTAAGCCCAGCCAGAAGGTTGATACACTAACTGGCATAAAGCAGTAGGGAGAGCTGTGATTGCTAAACTGGAGCTAAGCACTGGAATCTTTCAAATACAATATTTACAAGAAAAGAAGGAATGAACAGACAGTTTTGTTTTAAAGTTGATGGCACCAAGATACAACTCAATTCCTATTCAGGCATGATCCCAAAGGTAAATGTTTACAGATTTGGCTACTGAGAACAAAATTCATGTTGACAGCAGCTGAACTGAGCAGTTCAAAGCTGGGAAGATAAAGTGCTTTTGAGACTGTGCCTTTCAGAATTATCCTTAAGCCAGGAGAAGAAAGTAGAGAAGTTTGAGTTGCACCTAAACCAGGGAGATTCCTGTTCTCCCACTGGTAAGTGTGCTCCAAAGAGTATTACTCTAATTAGTCTGAGCATGCTTATTAATTATCCAGAACAGGGTAATCTGGCCTCAGTGTGGGCAGTGTGTTTCCTCACTGGTGTTGGATTGCAAAAGCTTCAGTGTTTTATTTGCAGCTTGATGTATTGCATGTCTCTGCTGTGTGATACCAAAGCAGGGTGTAGGGTGAAACATCTGCCCGTGGCTGTGGTATTTCACACGAGGGGTTGTTGTGCCCAGCTCTAGCAATCTCTGTCACCCTCAAGTTCTACCAATTCCAGTCTCGTATTTTCAGGGAGACAACTGGTGACAGTGGTGAATAGCATTAGGCCTGATCCTGATGCTGTAGAGCTGCACGAAGGGTGTCCAAGCAGTGGTGACTCCTTGTTGGCAAACAGACCTTTGGGGTCTGTCGTTAGCCAGTCCTTAGTCCCTGTGTGCCCTGTGAACATGGTGTGAAGCAAACCCTGCAGGGCTGTGCCTCAAGTCACACTGCCAGGGCACTGCCACTCACACAGCCTCTGCCTCCTGCGGCACGCGAGGGGAAAGGGGAGAGATGGAGCTGCAGAGAGCAGGCCTGGTGTCCTCACTCCTGCACTGGGGCCTACAGATCACGTCTCCAGCGAGCAGAATCCACAACAATGACCGGCCACGGCTCGTCAGACCTGATCACATCAGCCAGCAGATCTCAATAGAGGCCCCGCGCGCCGCGGAGCCCTGGGCACGGGGAAGTGGCTGCACATTGTACGTGCTCAGCCACACACGAGGAGGGTGTGCAGGGCAGGCTGTGCCCCAGGGCTGGGTCTGAGGAGGGTGTGCAGGGCAGGCTGTGCCCCAGGGCTCCGAGTGGATGTGACGGACCGGGGATGGACGTTGGCTGGTGTGCCCGGGGTGGCACAGCCCATCATGGCCAGTCGTGGCCCATCGTGGCCCGGGCACTCCTGTGACCCACGGGGAGTGAGGTGAGCTGTGGCAGTGCCATGGCCAGGAGGGCTGCTGAGTGCCTGTGGGCAGGGAGCTCTGCCTCTGCTGTGGGAAGGCAAGGCCTGGAGCCACAGGCCGGGAGCCTGGGGAGCCTGGAAGGGAGGATGGTGTGACCACAGAGTGGGAATCCTTCTGAGGAGCAGCACTCCCCTTGGGTGTCTTTCTGGGCAGGTGTCAAAACATGAACCAAGATGTTTTGTGGTTAAAGAGGTTTCAAGAGGCTTCCAATCTCATTCTTATTTTGGTAGTTTGATTATTGCTTTCCTGGGTTTGACTGGGATAGGGAGTCATAATTTCCTGGGTTAGGCTTCTAAAGGTGTAATACTTCGAAGTAATAAAACACATCTCCAGCCTGTAATCTGGGGGAAGAAGGGGAGGGGGAGCCAAGCTGTGAACAGCAACAGCTCAGGTAACTCTTGCAGTCCTTTCATTAGCAGCTCCAGTCCCTGGAGCCCAGATTTGGTGGCTGTTTAACGAGTCCGGAGGGACTGTTGGACTGTAGGGATTTGCTTGGAAAGCAGTCACAACAGCAGAACAAAACTCAGATGAGACCAGTGGCACAGTGTCATCTTGGCAACATCGGGCTCGGCCGGGCACGGGGTCAGGTGCCAAGTCGCTGCTGCAGAGCGAAGATTAATTGGCTTTGGTCAGCCTTTGCCTCATTATCTGAGTAGCATTATCAGGAATGTAAATGATTATGCAATGCAGAGAAATGCCACAATGTCTCAGTGTCTCCTTTTATACTTGTCTCTTTTTGAGCAGGGCTTTATCTAAATGCAAATGTGATTTCAGCCTTCTGATTAGGACATTATACAGTCATCCATTCCAGAAAAGCACAATTAGTGGATTATTTTATTTCTGACGCAACATTCTTGGTTTAGATAGTTTGTTTGTTGTGCTATGCGTGATATTTAAGTTATCAGAAGGAGATTTACATTATTAGTCAGGATTATAGCCAGATTCTGTGAGGTCGAGGGTTTTGTTCTGGTAACATTTCTGGGATTCGAGGGCAATGCTTTAGAACAAAAGGCAGCAGTGCAGGTTCTTACTGTGCTTCGCTGTCCTTTTTGTGCCGAGGAAGGGGCAAATTGCAGCAGTAACTGCAAGTTCTCTGGTGTTGGGGTGTACAGAGTGTGGCCTGAGGTGTGCCTGTGCAGGGCACAGCTTTGGGTACTGGAGCCTCATAGGGTTTAGGTTGGATAAGAGACCTGGTGAAAACTCCATCTTCAAGCCTTTTGGAAGGACCAGTATTTATGGGAAGATGAAAGATTCCCCCCTGCCCAAAATTCACCAGTGCAAATGTATTTATCACATGAGTTGAATTCAACAACTCATCATTTTCCTATGAAAAATTACTGCAGTGGAAAATTCCTAATTATCTATAGTGAAACAACATTTTCAATTCCATTGATCAGTTTCAGCATTCCATATTCATGTTTCTGTGACTGGTTCCTTGCTCTCTCCCAGAGCTGCTTTCCTTTGTGCTGCAGCTTTGAGCTGTCCTGGACATTCCCAGCACATGAAGGATCTTCGCCTTTGTGACAGGAAATCTATTGCACCACTTAGGTTTAATTAGAGAACAGTGACATATGAGGAGTTTACACATCAAAGCCTGGAAACAACTCGACAAACTGGCTCTCATCCCAAAGTGTATTTTGGGATCTGTATTGAATTTTGGGATGTTTCACTGTATTTAGTGGGAATATGTGAAATACCAGGTTGGGTTCTTAGGGGCAGTGGAACTAGACCAGTTCCTGCCAGCTAAGGATCTAGACCAAACTATGTAAAGTTAAATGTAGGTTCAGATCAACTTGAATCCAACTGCATATTCCAGATTTTTGTATTGGATGATAAAACCCTATTCCAACAGGTTCTGTGCAAGCAACCAGACCCCTGTGCCCAGTTCTGAATGCTAATTGTTCGTGAAAGCTAACAGGCACCATGTTTTGGCTGGGAGTAGTTCTCGGGGGGATGATTGTGGAGTCTCACCTCATGTCTCCTGCTTTCCTGAGGGAACATCTCAGGTATTCCAGAGCAGACACACCCCACGAAGCTCCAAGTGCAGGAGAGCACTGGTCAGATGGGAGTCCCACACTGCACTGTGGGTCTGTTTGCAACCTGGGAAACATTGATGTGTGGTATACCTTAATATTCTGTCACAGTGATCCTCTGGCATGACTTCCATGCTGTGTTCTCATGCCTGGATCCGTGACAGCTTAACCCCTTTCTGCCCCCAGGCTCAGCAAGTCCTGATTCATTTCAGACTGGGTTTCTTCTAAAGCGTTTGCAAGTTATGCTGCTCAGCCTCCGTTCACTGCCCGTTTGCATTGCCTAGTGTTGCTTCCCACTTGCGTCGCGGTGTTCTCAGAGAAGTCCTGAGGTGCTGTGCTGTGTTTGTTCTCAGCAGGCAGCGCGCTGGGAATGGCCCCGCTGCCCCAGGCCGAGCTGGTGCGGAGCTCGGTGCAGCTGTACCGGTACCTCCTGCGCTGCTGCCGGCTGCTGCCCGCGGACAGCCTGCGGCAGCACTACCGACACGCCATCCGCCAGGTGAGGGGCGCTCCCGGGCCGCGCTGCTCAGCTCCGCGCGCTTAAACACCTCCTCTGCACGCCCGAAACGTCGGTGGCTTCGAAGGATTGCAGTGGCCGTGTGTGAAGGAGCATTTCTTGTTTGCTTTGGGTCTGAAACCTGCTGTTTTTCCTGGCTTTCATCCGTAATTGTTGTTCACAGAGAGTGAACAATCATTCCCTAGTCCCCAAACACATCTCTTACAGAGGAACTTAGTGTTTCCTTGTCAGTCATTTTTTGATTCCTGTGTCTGTCTCCTGCTCCCACCCCCAGTCTGGGTGAGTCTCATCTGAGTGTTCCTAGTCCATACTTCATATGGAAGTAATTTCATGCCCTTGATCAGACCTGTTGACCCATGTCTTTCCAGTCTTCCCATGCCAGACAATTCCAATTGTTGTTCTGAATTGCAGTTCTTTGGGTTTTTTTGTTGCTAAATTGCAGTTCTTTGGGTTTTTTTGTTGATGATGTGTGAAAGGAGTGAAATACTTCCCATGAAATTCCACATGAGCAGATTTGTTATGGAAATAACACAGCCAGGTGCTACAGTGTGCATTTGTACCTTATCAGACCAACAGTTTATTTGCATCAGATATTTTTCTGAGAGGTAGAAGCAATGCTTGTTGTGTTTGCATGGTCAGTGTGACACTTGGCTTGTTGCAGAGTTTCAAAGTTCATGCTGATGAAGATGACCCTGAGCGAATCCAGCAGATCATCAGGAGAGCCATTGAAGATGCTGACTGGGTGATGAATAAAGTAAGTGCATCAGATTGTCTGTGCTTTGCTTTCTCTCGGTTCAGATCAAAGAAGAAAACATTGGGAAGCAAGTTCTGAACAGCAAACTGTTGTGTGTCCTGGGTATTGAAGTGTCTGGGTGAAAGGAGTACCCAGCCACGGGGCATCTGTGATTGTCATAGCTCTTGTTGGAAAACTAATGTTTATTTTCAGAATGAGTAACAATTTGAGTTGGTCTCTCTGTAAGTCTTTGTTTCCATGAAGAATTCTGTTACATTTCAACAGTGGTGATTAGTGTAACTCTCATATAGGGGAAGAAACTACAGCATTTTGCAAGCCAGAGTTTGATGTGCATCATCTGCTTTCCCAGCAGAATCTGTCCTCAGCCAATTTACATCAACTTCCAGAACTGTTGTTCTTCTGCCTGTGGCTGCACAGGTCAGGGAGGGATCCACGGGGGCCAGGCTGTGGTGCTGGGCTCGCCTGTGCCTCTGTGCTGTCACAGCACTGAGAGAAGCCACTCAGGCTGGTCTGTCAGACATGAGGATTGTTTGTGCTAGACAGCAGAGTCACCTGTGCTTCCTGGGGTTTCAGTTTGGGGGGAGTGGATACATTAACACTGGCTAGAAGGAAACAAGTCAAAAGTTCAGCTTGCTCTAAATATCTGTGATTTAATTTACTAAGTGACTAAGTCCTTCTCTCTGCCAGTCCCCAAAATCCAAATGAGAATTGTTACAGAAGCAAGCACAGATTAGTTACAGATTATGAAATTACAGCAATAGCCAGATCCCAGCAGCCACAGCCTGGTCAATAACTGTGCCTGGGGTTGATTTTATTCTCCCTACAGTTCTGCCTCTGCCCCAGAGGCTGCAGTGTGGTTCTGTGGGAAGCTGTGGACTGGTGACAGGGGGGGGCAGTCACTGCCTGCCAGGGAGTGTCTGTACTGCAGAGGGAAAGCCTAGCAAAGCTCAACCTACCTTAGAGGAAACTAAGATAAATTTGTGTGGAGAGTTGTAAATCCTTGTTAGTAGGAACTGTCACTTAGTTATGTGCTCTTTCCTACCAAAAAAAAATCTATTTTCTTTTTTTTTCAGTATAAAAATCAGAAGTAGAAGAGGAAGGATGAAGAGAAGAAGGACATGGGTAAACATCCTTAGAGGACTTGCAGTCAAGCCCAGTACTCTGCTAGAATTATTGCCTGGAGTCTTCTCTTAGATAATACAAATACAATAAGTTATATCTCACTGGGATGTCATGAAGCTAAATTAATATTTCTGGACCTATTTAAGTCTGTAGATGAAAAGGCACAGTCTAACTTAAAACTACTGCTTTGTGTAATCACAGACTTTGAGTTAAAGTCCAAACTTGGCTAAGCTTTGAGTAATTTGTTGTATTATCCTGTTAGTTCTGGATCGACCCTCGCCGTGTGTGGCACAGCTCCTGTGCAGGCCCTTTGGTGACAAGGTTCCCCTGCCTGGGCCACCGTGGGTGTCTGAGAAGGAGTTCAAAGTGTGCTGGTGTGACCCTGCTGGTGCGGCACAGCCGCTCTGCTCCTTTCTGAGCACAGATCCTTTCAGAGGCCTGGGCAGGGCACAGGGCTGGGTTTGACCGGTGGCAGACACGATGGGCTGCTGGGGGCAGCGTGCCACGAGGACTTTCAGCCCCCTGAAACCTCAGCCGCAGTATTTTCCGCTTGCCTGTGTGTGCCGTGGCCACACAGTCCGTTCTGCTGTTTGAGCTGGGGGAACCGAAGGCTGTGTCACTGAGTCAGGAGCAGAGCTGTCGGGTCGGCTGTCCTGCTCCGAGTCTCCACGGCTCTGTGCGGCACACAGAGTGTCCTAGAAAGCGGGAGCCGCTGTCCTTCCCGGGGTCGCTGTCCTTGCCCGGAGCCGCTGTCCTTGCCCGGAGCCGCTGT